GGGTCGACTGGCCGGGGTCACTTGGCGGCCGCGGAAGGCAGACGTGCATACCGCCGAAGGGTCGTCTTACTGGCCTTACCTTCTTGGGGGAAGGGGGGGGAGGGGGACTTTCAAAGTCGTCGGAGTTGGAATATCTTTTTTTTTATTCTCGTTTCACTTCTGTGTTTTTTCTTTTATTTCTTTTTATGTATTTATTGTTATTGTTGTTTTCATCGACGGAACATCTGTGTCTGTGAATTAATAACTCCACAAGGCAAGATCTGCGTATGATGTTCCAATATCGCATTTCTATTCTTACCTATTCTATGTATGTCACAATGTACTCCTTTCCTCATTGTATTCTCTGTCACAAATAGGGCTTTATTTACACGAGAAGCACGTGGCCGCATAATGGTATGAATAAACATCGTGCTTTATGAGTCTCATGTGGCATGGAGGCTGCATGAGAGACTGACTCACTCGTTTAGGAAAGTAACCAGCTTGGTAACCCCCCCCCCCTCTCCTTTCTTCAATCTATTCTCTCTCTCTTCTCCTCTCTCCCCTCTTCTTTCTTCTCTCACCTTTCCCCTCTCCCCTCTTCCCCACCCCTCCCTCCGCTCTCGACCCAAATTGATCTGTGTAAGAAGATCCCCCACTTCATGCTGCAAGAAGATCAATATTTTGTTTCATATCATATCAGCTTTATTCACGGGTCGGTGTACGGTTCCTAGGCCCACCTGTACATATTCAACCGCTGTATTTATTTATTTATTTGTTTTATGTACAGACCGCCGTGTTCACTAATTCATCCCAGAGTAAATATCTTTCCTGATTCGCTGTATCCGTTATAGTCTATTATTTTTATTGATGTGGTGGTTAGTCCTTGGTAAATAGATGCCTCTTTCATGGCGGCGTTATTTATTTGTGTATATATTTGTTTTTGTTTATCTATATTTGAGTGTGTATTTTAACGCGCTGGAATGTCAAATATAGAGGCGCTTTACAGCTTATTTTGTTTTTTTTTTTTCTTTCTCTTTTATATCTTTTTTCCACTTCTTCTTTTTTCTTTTTCTCCTCCACTCTCTCATTCATTCGCTCCTTTTCTTCTCATGCTGTTACTTTCTTGTGCCTCTTTTCTACTTCCTTTTTTGTCTCGCCCCCATTATTTTCTTCCCTCCATTACTCCTTCTCTCTACCCTATCCCCTGATATCTTTCTCGCCCTCCTTCCTCCCTCTTCCTCTACCTCACCATCTCCTTTCTTTCTCTTTCCTTCCCTTCACACCCCTTTCCTCTCGCCCCACCCTCTAATATCATCCCCTCACCCCCCACACTTTTCATCCCCCCCCATTTCACCCTGTCCTCTTCCCCTCTATGTCTTCCCATCTCTCTCTCCTCTGCCCCCCCCCCCACACTTCACTCTATCCCCCTCCCTTCCCCCTGCACTTTTCATTCCTCTCCCTCCCCCCCCTTCTCGCCCCCCGAAGTGTCACCTGAGCTTCCACTTCATCGGCTGGAGTGCGCGCGAAGACCGTTACCAGGACGAGGGAGATTGAAAAAAAAAATCCTTACTATTTTACTCTCATTGTCACCCTTTTTTATCCTTTGTCATCCTTGCCATTTTATTTTCATCGTCCACTCTTTTTATCATCTTTTTCTCACGTCTCTTAGAAACCAATTAGGTTTATGGTTGGCGGATGTCTGGTTGGTGTGCGGATCTCGGAAGTGTATTTTCCGTTCGGTTGAATTGCCAGTTCGGTGGTTAGGGTAACGTTTCCTCTTCTCTGTTGGTTCCTGTATGTTTTTGCATTCTTTATTTCTTTTTAACATTCTCTTTTTTCTTCTGTCTTCTCTCTCTTTCTCTTTCTCTTCTCTTCTCATTCTCATTCTCATTCTCATTCTCATTCTCATTCTCATTCTCTCTCTCTCTCTCTCTCTCTCTCTCTCTCTCTCTCTCTCTCTCTCTCTCTCTCTCTCTCTCTCTCTCTCTCTCTCTCTCTCTCTCTCTCTCTCTCTCTCTCTCTCGCTCTTCCCTCTCCCTCTCCCTCTCCCACCATCCCTTCTCTTTCTCTTCTGCCCCCGTTCCACCCCGTAATCTTATTATATATTCTTTTTTCCGCTTCCTCTTCTCCTTTCCCTTCCACTCACGCTCCCCTAAATTACCTTTATCTTTCCCCCTCCCTCTCCCCTTCCCCTTCTCATTCACATCCCGTGTCCTTGCACTCCACCTTCCCCTTCATTTCCCGTATCCTTCCCCCCTCTTCCCCTTCTCCTTCTCTATCCCCTTTCCCCTTTCTCTTCATCTCCCGTTTCCTTCCACCCCATCTCCCCCCCTTCCCTTCTTCTTCCCTCCCACTCCCTCTTTTTTCCCTTCCACTTCCTTCCCCCTCCCCTTCCCCCTTTCCCCCTCCCCACCCCTCCCCCTCCCCTCCCCTACCTTCCTCTTCCCTTCCCATCCCCTCCCGTCTCCTTCCCCCCTCCCCCCCCTCCTTCCTCGCCTCCCCTACCCGCTACCTCCTATCC